TGAATTTCGTATAATTCAACAGGGTCCCGGGCTCCTGCTCTCCTATACTGGAAGCTCGACCACCTACTGGTGACATCTGGAGAGAGATGCGGCGGCATGAGGTACCTGCTCCAGATTTCTGCGTCCCCCTCTGCCATCCCTTCCCTTGGATGGCAGGTTCCCCCTGTATGGAGAGAAACCCCTGTGCTTGTCGGCTTTCCACCAGCAAGGATACCTGACCCAAAGCCCAGCCTACAGACAGTCCTGGACTTTGAACTCTGTGGACTGTTTGTGTATAGATTGCTGGCCCGACCTCACGCCAGGCCTGAGACCGAAAACCTGTTCTACTTACCTGTTCGTGTGCTGCCCTGCCCTGAACAAGGGCCCGACCTCTCTATAACTCCTATTCGGCCTGCAGCCAGGGCAGGACCCTTGTGAGTCAGCATGCTCACACTGTCGCTCTTAGGAGTAGTTAGAATATAGATTGTGTTATAAAGAAAATATAAGGAATGAATTAAAAGTTTGTACTAAGAGAAGATTTGTGTTAGGAGTTAGGTTGATACCTTTTGTATGGAGAGTTGTGTCCCTTCTCCCATGTGTGAGCTGATTGTGTAGTTCCTGGAGAGGGGGTGTGAATAGAATGTGCATGTTTGGAGGGAAAATGACTTGTAGACCCAACAGTTCAGAGTCCAGACAGTGGAAAAGAGGAGGCAGCTGGAAGACTCAGAGCCATCAAGTTACCATAAATTGGGACCAATAAAAAGCAGGCTTGAGGTCCTGAACTTGGGCAGCTTATAGTAAGTCTACGTGGCCTCCCACTGACAGGAACTGTACAGTTGGGTAATTTGGTCTCTTGACCCTGTTTGTTAACGAGCCATTGTAATGAAGTGTTTTGCTTCATTACAATTCATCCACGCCGACTAACGCTTCCTTGGTGGCAGTGGAATTAAAGAGAGAATGGTAATGGGGACACGGGTTCGGTCACCTCATCAGATCAATTCCTCCCCAAGAATAAACATCCCATCACCAGCCAGCCCCCCTACGGTATAGCTTGTCCTTCCATAAGTAGGGACAAAATAACGGTCAAACCATTCTTTAGCGCACGATGGCTCAGATGTACCTTGGAGAAACAAGGCAGATTAAAAGACCTTTAGAAAAGTCCTTTATAATTTGGGCTTGATTTGTCTGCAGAAGAGGCAAAGGCCTGGACACGGGTTCGGACACCTCATCAGATCAATTCCTCCCCAAGAATAAACATCCCATCACCAGCCAGCCCCCCTACGGTATAGCTTGTCCTTCCATAAGTAGGGACAAAATAACGGTCAAACCATTCTTTAGCGCACGATGGCTCAGATGTACCTTGGAGAAACAAGGCAGATTAAAAGACCTTTAGAAAAGTCCTTTATAATTTGGGCTTGATTTGTCTGCAGAAGAGGCAAAGGCCTGGCTGGGATGATTGAGTTGGGGTTGGTCCTGCCAACCCTGGGATTCAAGGATTCTATGCTTGGGGATAGGATCTGTGTACCCATGCCCACTCCCCCAATTCAGTCACTGTCTGCATTCACATTTTAGAAGACAGCCATCCACCTCCTGCTTTCCCCTGCCACATCCCCAGCAGATACCCTCACACTCTGGGAGAAGGAACCCTTCCTTTTTTGAGCAGACACCAGAACGATGGGAGAAAACTAGACCATAAGGTATCGATGGAGAATAGAAAATGTAGGTGCCCAACTCCTTTTGACACTCAGTTGGGTGTGTAACTCCCTTGGGTTCCTTTTAAAATCACAGCCAATGCCAACAGGGGTATAAAATATTGTTCATGTGGCGGCTTAGGGGTTTTGTGGGCTGTATTTTGAGCTCCAAGTGCAGAGAGCAAACTGATCTGGGAGCTTTGGCAAAGAATTTTGTAACTCTAGACCATAAGGTATCGACAGAGAATAGAAAATGTAGGTGCCCAACTCCTTTTGACACTCAGTTGGGTGTGTAACTCCCTTGGGTTCCTTTTAAAATCACAGCCAATGCCAACAGGGGTATAAAATATTGTTCATGTGGCGGCTTAGGGGTTTTGTGGGCTGTATTTTGAGCTCCAAGTGCAGAGAGCAAACTGATCTGGGAGCTTTGGCAAAGAATTTTGTAACTAGGGAGCATTTCATTTTCATCTTTCTAAGGAACAGAATTTACATTTGTCCCTTTCTCTGTTATTCTAGCAGATCCACGCATCTAATTCATCTGGAGAATAGCGCTCTCTGTTGAAATCACAAGTACTGCCTTCGATAATTGCTTTCATAAATAAGACATTCCCTTGTTTCTATGATCTGGCTTTCGGGTGAACGGCTCTCCTGCCTCTGTTATCTTCCCTTTGGAATCAGTTGTTTTCCGTGACTCACCCTCTGAGGTTAATAAGAAGAGTTTCCTTGTTCCATTGTGCCTTTCTAAAAATAAATATGAAATTTCCACTATGCAATAATTTCATATTCCCAACAGCAGAAATATCCAGAGAGGTGACCTCATCCCCTATGGAGGTGAAATGACCAATCAGGAGAGACGCTCATTGTTTTACATAAGAACATAAGAACGGCCATAGGACCATTCAGCCCATTATCCTGTCTGCTGACAGTGGCCAATTCCAGGTGCCCTAGAGGGAGGTAATGGCCAAGCGATCTCTCTCCTGCCATCCATCTCCATCCTCTGACAAACAGAGGCTGGGCACACCATTCCTTACCCATCCTGGCTAATCGCCATTCATGGACTTAATCTCCATGAATGTATCTAGTTCTTTTTTAAACCTTGTTAAAGTCCTAGCCTGCACAACCTCCTCAGGCAAGGAGTTCCCCAGGTTGACAGTGTGCTGTGTGAAGAAGAACTTCCTTTTATTTGTTTTAAACCTGCTGCCTATTAATTTCATTAGGCGGCTCCTACTTCTTATATTATGGGAACAAGATTTTCCTTATTTACTTTCTCCTCACCACTCATGGTTTTATAGACCTCTATCATATCCCCCCTTAGTCTCCTCTTTTCTAAGATGAAAAGTCCCAGTCTCTTTAATCTCCCCTCATATGGGACCCGTTCCAAACCCCTCATCGTTTTTGTTGCCCTTCTCTGAACTTTTTCCAATGCCAATAGATCTTTCTTGAGATGAGGAGACCACATCTGTATGCAGTATTCAAGATGTGAGCGTACCACTTTTAAAAGAGAATAACAGCAACAGACACCCAGAAACACTGTGCCCTACAGACATGCAGGCAGGAATCCAACACTCATTTTCCTGAGACAACGGGACAGAATCCACAGTAGTAGCGCTTGGAAAATGTAGCGCCAAGATTCCAGTCTTGCCTCAGGAAATCTGAAGGAAGGGCTCGAATCAGCGTGACACTGTAAAAAGAACAAGAGTTCAAATAAATTTCCTCTCGCCTATTCCCAGCCTCTGGTAAACAAAAAAGAACATCAGCAGAAAAGGTAAATCAGCAGAGTTAAAATAAATTTCCTCTCGCCTATTCCCAGCCTCTGGTAAACAAAGGTCAGCAACACCATCGCTGCCCATCCCAGCTGATAGTCATTGATGGACCTGCCCTGCATGGGTTTATGTAGTTTATTTGCTCCTTGTGTGTTTCATTTTTCACCACAAAACTGTTTTCCCTCTCAGACATGAGTTTTATTGCCTGTAACGTTTTTGTAAAAAAAATTATTTCTCGTATGCGGGTGTGGTGAGGGGAGAGGAGGTGCAGTGGGGAGGTGGTTCTAGATTTCCATTTTTTTCTGCTCCGGATTAAATTGCACCAGTATCAATGTGCCATTGTCACTCCCAGGGTGGGCAGAGTCAAAGGGACGTCTCATACATCAGTGGATGAAGTGGTCAAAGGATGGGTTATATCGAGGTGTGTGCAGGGGTAAAATAAGCAAGAGGTTTCAGAGGGCTGGTTCTGACACCTTTGTTTTAACAGCAGAAATCTGCTACCTCTCTTTCACGTGGCTGTATTTTTTAAGTTCACAATATTATTTGGAGAAATAAGCAGTCTCTCATTTTCTCTCGGTCTTCTCATTCTATCTTTAAATTTTTGTCTTCTTCGGGGTTTTTTTTTTTCTTCTCTATACACCTTTATTTTCCTTCCCTCTTATTTGTCTCCTGATGATTTTTTCTTTTTAATTTCACATACCCATTTTTAAAAATAAAAGTTTGGATTCTAATCTGCGTTGCCTTTCTGTAAATCCACACGAGACTGATGACATTTTTCCAGCTGTAACTCAGATCCAATTAACAGCCTGTAGTGTACGTTTAGTTTTTGTGATGTGTCTTCTAAGCTGCATCTATCAAACGGTGGAAACTTTTCCTTGCCTCTGCTGTGGCAGAGGACAGATGGAGAGACCTTCCCACAATCCACAGCCTCATTGGCGTTACGCTGTGTATGTATATTGCAGCTGGGCACTGTAATTCCGGGCAGTGACAGGGCCAAATACATTGACCTATCCTGCTAAAAGACTAGCTGCCTTTGCACAATTCCCATTGGAGAGGCAAGGTACATACACATGTGGATATCTCATCTACTGTCCATGCTGTTGGGTTTTCCCTGTTAATTTTATCCTGCTAGCTTGATCAAAGGTCTATCCAGCCTTGGCATTATGCCTCCAAATGCAGAGTAGACGAGCCATGGTGGGTCTCCAAATCTCTCTCATTTCTCAACAACTCATTATTTGTTACATCTTCTGCGTTTATTGCCATGACACTGGTATGAGAATCCTGCCCTTGAAATCTTCACTGAAAGTTCAAGCGATGTTGAGGGAGTCAGATGGGACATTTCTCTAATCCATTGGGGTTCCAAGCCCTTGGTTCAACGTTATTGGAAGGTCCATCTCTTAATGAGATACGTCTTCATTAGTTTATGGGCAACATCATTTTCCCATTGGTGAGACACAGAGCTGCGAGGTTCCCCACGCCAGGTCTTTGCCAGAGTGACACAAGGTCCCAGCTGGGGGCACCCCATCAATATTTAACGGTTCTCTTTTCTTAGACCCATATTATGGAGATGGAGAAAAGAAGAAACCAAACACCCATCACCGAATTCGTCCTCTTGGGGTTTGGGAACGGCCCAGAACTGCAGCCCCTCCTCTTCCCGCTGTTTCTGATGATCTACTTTGCCACCGTGGCTGGGAATATTCTTATTGTTCTGCTAGTGGCGGTTGATCGGCACCTTCACACCCCCATGTACTACCTCCTGGGCAACTTGTCCTGCTTGGAGACCTGCTATGCATCAACTATCCTGCCCAGGCTGCTGGCCAGTCTCCTGACTCGGGACAGGACCATCTCTGTTAAGGGCTGCCTGGTGCAACTATGTATCTTTGGTAACATTGCAGCGATAGAAAATCTGCTGCTCACGGCCATGTCGTACGACCGGTATCTAGCCATATGCCACCCCCTCCGCTATGCTGCCCTCATGAACGGCCGGGTGTGTGGCCAGCTCGTGGCAGGGGCCTGGATCAGCAGTTTTCCTTTCTGCACCATGGTCAATATTTTCTTGTTCCAATTAACGTTCTGTGATTCCAATGAAATTGACCATTTCTTCTGTGATTTTACACCTGTGGTAAAGGTGTCCTGTAGGACAGTCCTACCTTTGCATCATCACCACCATCCTGAGAATCCCTTCCACTAAAGAGAGGCAAAAAGCCTTTTCCACCTGCTCCTCCCACCTCATCATGGTGATAATTGTCTATGTGACTCTCATTGCTGTCTATGTGGCTCCAACAACCAACACTCCCAAGGTCCTACATAAAATCTTCTCTGTCTTCTACTCAGTCCTGACTCCCCTGATCAATCCCATCATCTACAGCCTGAGAAACAAGGAGGTCAAAGAGTCGCTGAGAAAAGCTCTTCTGAAACTGGCTGCTGTCAGAAACAGGCACAGAAGGTGAAGGGACACATTTTAATACACAGTAAAATAGATGTAATGGACAGGAGGCGTGCCGACCAGCACCTGGTGACTAAAGGGGTAAGCTCAGGTAGGAAGCAAGGGTGTTGGCCATGGGGCCAGGAGAACCAATCGAGATAGAGAGTTGAAATTTGAATTGGATAAAGGTTCCTTGCCTGCTTCTTTTGGGTGGGAGAGGACAATCAGGACTTGAGAGAGACAGAATGATTTAAACCCAGGCAGGACTGCCCTGCCTTCAAGGAATTCAGGGCATGGAAGTGGACTGAACAAAGAGAAAGCTGAAAGTAAGGAAAAGTGAATCCCGTCACATTAGGGTAATTTTTCTTTATGTTGTGGTTTGGTTTGAACTGCCTTTCCCAAGGAAGCAGCAGAAAAGAAGAAAGAAGAAAAAAAAACCCTCCAAAACTTTCAAACAGCAAAACAGAAGGAAAACGTCTGATGGGAACTAAACATCTTTTGAGTGATTGTGCATTTCTTTAACATCCACGCTATGTAGTAATTTTTATTAACCACTGATTAGGACACTCCTTTGTCAATTACACTCTTGAATATCAGGTGAGATATGTTGCTTTCACAGCGAATGGAGAAGTTGGGGTATTATTCTACATAGACCTATAACTGAGGAAACAAAAAATGAAAGATTGTGATGGGTTTGGAGTCTCAGTGTCTTGCTATGTGAAATTTCCTGCCTCTTGATACATCTTTGCAAGGTCACGGAATCATTTACATTATCTATCTATCTATCTATCTATCTATCTATCATACAGCTCATCTCTCTTTCTCCTCACCTACCCCATCTGTCTCTCTCTCTCACTCCTCATACACCCCATCTCTCTGTCTCTCTATCTCTCTCTATACAGAAACTTTTATCAATATAGATATTGATACAGGTATGTAAAATAGAAATGGGACATAGGGTCAAGATTTTCAGCTCTCAGAAGACTCATTTTCCTTACCCATTTAAAATAAAAAAAGTAATGCAGGAATTCAGGTGAATGAGAAATGAGATCCCAAAAGCTCCAGGCAATTTTGAAAATTATAGAATCATCCTAGAACACTAGAACTAAAAGGGACCTTGAAAGATCATCGAGTCAAATAACCTGCCCTCACAGAAGGACCCAGCACCATCTATACCATCCCTGACAGGAGTCTGTCTAACCTGCTCTTACATATCTCCAGTGATGGAGATTCCACAACCTCCCTAGGCAATTTTTTTCAGTGTTTAACCACCCTGGGTATGTTTACACTACAGAGTTAGTTCGAACTAACTTTCATAGGCGCTACACTAGCGTTCCGCTAGTTCGAACTAGGAAAAACTCATTTTACGAGGATTAAGCCTAGTTCGAACTAGCTAGTTCGAACTAGTGGGAGGCTAGCCCTCTCCAGGTTTCCCTGGTGGCCACTCTGGCCAACACCAGGGAAACTCGTCTGCCCCCCTCCCGGCCCTGGACCCCTTAAAGGGACACGGGCTGGCTACGGTGCCCGTGCCAAGTGCAAGCCTGCCAGCACCCAGCCAGCAGACCCTGCACCTG